CCTCCCCCCTGCCTCCCCTCACCTTGGGTAAGATCACGGTCGAGGGGTACCACTCCGCAGTAACCAAAGGTGTCAGATGCAATCCCTTCTTTTTAGAAGTCCCTAACCAAAGGCAATAAGTAGGTGTAAGTGCCAAGAGCTGAACCGGAGCAATAAAGAAAACTGTCAGGAAACGAGTAAAACCCAGCAGCTTTAGGAGTGGTGAACTGGGTGCCCACACGAGGGGACAGGCATGTTGCGGAGTCCAAACCCGCAAATATTTGGGGTCTTCCCCCAGGCTGAGCAAAGGCGCGATGCTCTGGCATCAGCACCGGCACCGGCGTGACCCGCCGGATTCCCCCGGTCAGCCAGTCTGCCCGTATCACCCCGAGAAGCTCACGGCCCCGCGGTACTGCCCGTCCTGCTGCTGCCCTCTCCCCTGCCACGTGCCGCTAGCTGTCCCCAACTGCCTGACAGTGTCCTCCTGTCCTTCCCCAGAGCTCCAAGGAGGATGCTGACCTCGCCTACTCCGCCTTCCTCCTCACCTCCAGCAGCATCACGCAGAGCGGCGCTGGGGGGGACAGCGCAGCCCCGGAGGTGCCCCCCACGAACTGGGAGGGTCAGATCTGAAGTCGAGGGATGGAGAGGCAGCAGCGACAGGGACCGTGAGGATCAGAGCAAGACATCGGCAAGCAGCACTGTTTATTGCTACCGCAATTCGCTATAGCTTGACCTTTTTTTTTTGTTTGTTTGTTTTTTGCTTAAATTCGGCTTTGAGCGGTGATTTAGGAGCAATCGTTTGATGCCAGTCGGGGTGGCTGGGCTGGAGGCGCAGGTCTGAGCGAGCAGGTCAGACCGGGAAACGGCGGGGGCTGGAGTGGCTTTGCCCACAGACAGCCCCATCCCCATCAGTGCCCTTCCGACACGGTGGGCTCTCAAAGGCACATTTTCAAAGTGTCTCAATTTATTTTAAAGGCAGCTGGAAAACCCTCTAGAACGACAACGCGCGGTTTCGATTCCTCTTGCTTTTTTATCCAGAGGGCAGAACCTGTAGACCAGACACGGTCTGAAGTGTTTATAGGCACAAGCAATAAAGAATACCGTTGGCTTTCAGCAGACGAGGGAGTCTCGCAGTCCGTGGGAGGGTGCGGGGAGAGTGCGTCCAAAGAGGAGAGTAAGGATGCATTGGGGGGGTATCCTGCCAGAAACAGCAATGAAACCCAGAGCAGCATCCCATCTGGCGTTGCAAATGGTGCAGGAGGGTAGAAGGAACCCACAAGTAGTGGAGATCAACTGGAAATGTTTTGAGTAATCTCACGTGCATTTTCAGCGGCAGCAGGATTTGATCACAGAATGACATTAATTGGTATGACAACCTGTCAGTAGCCTCTATAGCCGGTCAGGCAATAGGCACCGGTGTTCACTGGTGCTGTATCCATCTGCACAGTACAGACTGAATTCCCCAGAGCAGCTGAACCAACGACCTCCCATTTCTGACCTGGAGTGGGAAGAACTGAGCCCAATCTGCGCTCCTCTGCCCCAGAACCACCCCTTTGCTTCATAAACCGGAGGTACACATCACTCACACGTTTTCCCTGGCTGACTTCATGTGTATCCAGGCAGAAACAAGGATGACTGTAATTAAATGTTTTCTCTTGGTCTCATTTTCGAGAGCAGATAACTAAACAGAGAAAAGTAATTTATTGATGCACGGATTTCCAAACAGCAGCGTGAGACTGCTGTCTGTCAGTTAGCGGCGGGTGCAGAAAGCTGAATAACCAGCAGATAGGGCAATGTAGGAAGCAGCAATGATGAAAAAATTGTGACAGAGCAGAGAAGCAATTTTCCCTGGACACCAGGAACGGGATGGGCTGGCGCCTGCCTGGCACAGAGAGGGGCTGCGGAGGTGTCCGCCAGGGCCAGGGCCGTGCAGGAGAGAAGGACCAGACACCGCACGGGTACGTTCAGATTTCTGAGCTTGTGTTGGCTATTTGCAGCTCTGATAGCAAGCCTTAAAACATGAAGATTGAGGAGTGGTACCCTGGCCAGGGTCTGACCCAGCGGTGTTACGGTAATACCATGAGTATTTCTGGTTTAGTGAAATATGAGCTACACTTTAAAACGAAAAGAATGCTGTAGCTCAGGAAGGTGCCGGGCAACGGCTGTTTGCGTGAGCCTGCAGACACAGAGTTTTCATTGAGGATAAACCCCAAATTATCCCTCAGTCACCGACCTCCCCACAACAGGCGCTGAGATGAGCTTGGCTCTCTGCGAGTAGGAGTGCCGCAGCTCCAGTGGCACTCGTGTTTCAGGGCTGCCTGTGTTATGTGCGTTTTCAGGGCTGCTCTCACACCCTGAGTCATCACCGTCCTGATGGCAAGGCTCGGACCCCAAATGTCCGGTTACGGCTCATCTGCCTCATCTCCCGGGCTGCATCCCCTCGGCAGCACGGTGGGAAGGGGCTCGGATGTCAGAAAAGGTGTGGAGGGGCCAGGACAGGTCTGCGCCCGCCCGGAGTTGCTGGAATTGAATGCATTATTCTGGTGCAATAGGAAAGGCGTGCGCTTGGAAAGTGTCCCCGGGGGTGAGCAGTCATAAAGCTGCAGGAGAATGCTAAGGTTTGGAAATTCGGGAGAGGAGAAAACCCCTTTCGCTCTCCCTTTGTAAATCCGTTTCCTCTTCAGCCTGCCCGCCGGCGTCCTTTTCCCAGCTCCGCTCCTCCCGCACCGCGAGTGAGCTGAACTCCAGGGAGAGGTGCGGAGGGCGAGAAAGGAGGGTGGGCTGAGCACCCCGCCAGCCGGCTCTGCCCGCGGCTCCGGCTCCTGCCCAGCGCGGGCACCTCCATCGGGCACCTCCTTTCCGAAGGGGCTTTCCCCGGGCTGCTGCGGTGGGTGGGAAAGTGTAAACTTAGTTCGACATGAAAGCAGTACAACATGCTTGGATTGAGGCACGCCAGCCTCCGCACAGGATACAAAATCAATGGAATCTGATAAATAGTAATAAATGTGACAGCGTAAGCTGAGGATGTGGGATAAAACCCACACACCTCACTCAAGCTGTCATCCAGAGCCCACCACAATCAACAGACAGGTCCACAGGGACCTCACCAAGCCGCAACATCTCCTTCCCCAGACTGCTTGCCAAACATGCCGAACGATTTTCTTTGGTCAGTGGTGAGCTGCGGTATCTCATTGCATCACCACTTCACTCCTAATGGTTTTTCTTTAAGAGAAAATCACAGTACGTGCAAGATACGTCGTTCTTACATAGTTGATTTCAAGGGTAACAGTGTTGAAAGATCAGCTTCCATAAACACTGACATTGTGTGGATGGATGTATCCACCCATTCAGGCCCTGGCACCAGGACAAATGAAAGTCAGAGTGCAAAAACTCACGAGAAAGCAAATTAAGAGAAACAAAGGCCCAAGAGGCTTTCCTTTGGCATAAGCAAATATTTGAGGAAGGATAGTGAGCAATCAAGGAGATCTTTCCTTTAAAAGTGAATCACCAAATCCCGCTCGTACATATGCACTAGAGGCAAAAGCTGGTGAGCTCACCCAGCCAGGTCACCACCCGGGCAGTTTTGGGAAGGGACAAGGAGTCTACTCCTCCTCTGCAGCTCTTCATTCTGCTGGCGCCCGAGGAAAGGTACAGCGCCCACCAGACTGACGCAAGGTGCCGGCAATGCTGGTTTGCTGCTGGAGGTCTTGACCAAGGTTCTCCTGTGATAGGGATGAAACCAAATCAGTAACTAGGTTCTCCTCAAGGATATAAGAACCTTATTCCATAATAGAGAAATCATAGAATCATAGAATGGTTTAAGTTAGAATGGACCTTAAAGCCCATCCAGTCCCACCCTCTGCCCTGGGCAGGGACACCCCCCACCAGCCCAGGTTGCTCCAAGCCCCGTCCAACCTGGCCTTGAACACCTCCAGGGATGGGGCAGCCACAGCTTCTCGGGGCAACCTGCTCCATGGGCTCACCGCCCTCACAGCAAATAATTTCTTCCTCATATCTAACCTAAATCTCCCCTCTTCCAGTCTGAAGCCATTCCCCCTCATCCTATCACTACATGCCCTTGCAAAAGTCCCTCCCCAGCTCTCCTGCAGCCCCTTCAGGCACTGGAAGGGGCTCTAAGGTCTCACCGGAGCCTTCTCTTCTCCAGGCTGAACACCCCCAACTCTCTCAGCCTGTCCTCATAGGAGAGATGCTCCAGTTAAAGACCCTCTGCTGCAGCTAAAGCCTTCCCCATGTTGCCTCTGTAGCATCATCAGAAATTGCCCAAGCTGGGAACAGCCAGCCCTCCCTCCATCCCAGCTGCCAAAGCTGTCCGTGCCCGTGAGCAGGAAAGGGACAGCTGGAGAGTGTCAGGCTGTCCCATGGGAACAGAGGTGCTGAGGTTTATGCAAGCCCGAAGGATTCAGATCGGGAAGCAACAACTCAACCCTAACAGCAATAAGAGCTGCTCAGAGCCGGGGCGAGCGTGCAGCGTCCTGGCCATGCTCATGCCAGCACAGCTGGTGGGAGTTTTGGAACACCTTGCTCAGCTTAGTTGATTCTTAGAGCAAAATGCACCATATCAGAGATCCACCCTCCAGTCTTGTTCAAGCCTTATGTCTAAGGAACGCAGCAGTAAGGCTTTATCACTTGAAATATTAGGACTAGAGTGCTACCAGGGACATAAACATCCAGCTGCTCTCCAAGCATTTACCTGGGCCCTGACACCAGCGGTATGCAACACCTCCTGCCTGCTTGGACAGATAACCTGGGTAGTCTTAGTTCATTTACTAACGCATTAGTCCTCTGCCATTGTCAGAAACCGCAGCAATATATGTATTAACACTGTGTGGGAAAACACAGTGGAAAATTAAATCAGATCATGCAGAACCAGTGGGTACCAGTGATGTGTGTGCAGCCACTGGCAGCTAAAAGAGCCCCAAATGGGTGAAAACAGACCAGAGCTATATATTATGCACAGTAAAAATGGTCTTGTGGACAAGCTGGGGTGATTTAGCATCATTCGGGTCTAAACTTTGGTCTCTCCGGTATGTCAGGAGCGATGCGTCACCTCTGGGACGCTCGTGTTACCAGGAGCGACAGTATCGGCTGTGAAAGGGCACCACGGTGAGTTCAGAAAGTTTCACCAACAAGAAACTTATAATTCCTCAGAATTTTGACGAACAGACTGAACACAGTTTCAAGTGGGGTTTATTTATGGTAATTGCAACAGATTTCCACAAAACTTACTAATGTGTGTCAGTAAATTACACAATACATAAAAGAACCTTTTTCTATTCAGCAACCACATATCTTGCATAGAAAGTTTTCTTTTACTGATAAGGCAGAAAATATCACCTCAAAAGAAAAAAACAGATTTCTAAGGCCTGACATACCTGCTAGGACCTATTTTTGGTGCCAGGACCTATTCTTGGAAGCATTTCTCAGCCTGCCTGCGCACCTCGTTTCAGCCAGAGCAATCGGCAGCAGTCACTGAAGACTGAGCCCAGATTTATGAGCATTAACTACTCTGCAGCATTAACTACACCAGTGCAGTTCCAGCGCTCATGAACATCAATTCCCTACACAATAAATTTATAATTTAAACAATACTTTTATTAAATGATCACAGCTTATGTCTGCTAGCAAGAGAAACCCTTTTAGATTTTCCCTTGGACAGCATCCTTTGACAGAAGGCAGCTAAGCGAGTGCTACGCTGATTTGATCAAACTCAATATTTCCTTCTTGATGCGAGACTGCTGATGCATTCGCCTGTGCACCCGGCTAGCAAAACACTCAGTGTTTGACTGAACACAGCTGCAAGCAGTGAGAAGCTGCACTGATGCAGTACATTATTCTCCTGTTCACCGCTGGTCTGTGCAATGTCCCAGCAGCTTCGTTAGCCCTGATCGTTGGTGGGTCGTTAACACCTTCTGCTCTCTAATGAGATTTCTCCACCCAGTCTAGTAGGATGTCCAGCTCACCCAGGGATTTAATTGCTGCAGATGTGATGTTCAGCTGAAATGGTATAAAGGAATAAGTTGTAAGCAAAGGTAGTGAGTACAACCCAATGTAAAGAGAATCTGCGTATCTGCGTTAATTACCAGACACAGCCATCAACTTACCCCTTCGTAGTTTGCAAGTATTTGCTTAAATTTCTCAGTGGATTCCTGTCCACACACGCACTTATTCTGTTCATGCTAAAGAAATACAATAGAACTCATTAGTTTGGGGGGTTAATTTTTAAAAAATAAGAGATCTGTTTCTAACTATGCTGGAAATTACTGTACGGACTGAGACCTTCTTGAACTCTGGAAAAGGCTGCAGGTCCTTAAATCAGAGTTCGGCTAAGAACAGAGTTTATTTTGCTAGATGGAGGGACAGGATAAATATCGTTCTTTAGAACTAACGTGGGGTTTGGCTGATGAGTGGCAAGTATAAAAATTTCTCACTGGATGTACACACTCTTCACATCATGCTTCTTTGTATTCTTGTTAAAACCATTTTTATAAATAAAGACTTTTGTGACTTTATACAACACTTAGGCTTGTTTATATACCAAATGCTAACAGATGAAATTACACTGTAGCAATACCCTGGACTTACACACTGCCCGAGTTTCCTCTTCACGCTGAGAAAGGAGTTGGCTATGCTGCTGATTTTTCGGTTGACAAACGAATCCTCAGTCTTGCAGTGTTTGAAGACTTTGTCCACGTAGAAGTTGAAGAGGTGATGGGTGATGCAGCATCTATCTAATGACTTAAGGAATAAATTTCATTTTTAAAAGGTCTTCCAAAGTGCTTTAAGGCTGTAGTCGCCAGCCTTTCTGTCCCCCTCCAGAATAAACCACTTCTAACACCAAGCACGGTAGCCAAGCACAGCAGGATGTTTTGACTCATATACAGCTTTTATAGTGATGCTTGATGTAAACTGATAACATATAGGAAGCTATTTTAGACTGATTTTCCAGGAGATCCATTCTCAGCCAGTCTCATTGAGTCAACAAAATAATTAGCTGATTTTGTAGTTGGGTATTAGATGCTGAGACCTGAAGCAGTGGCCCATGTCTAGTGCCTTAGAGTGTAAGAGGGATGCCAAATACTTATTTATAACGCATTTCACCTCCCAAGATCACATTCACCTGCCTTTGGATCCTTTAATACCTTTGCACCCAAATCTCAATTCACCTCGCTATGCCTCCACCGACCGAGGCAGTGGGGAGCCGCAGCTCCTGTAACTGGAGCATCATGTGCAACAAAAAGAAAGAAAAAAAGCCTCTGCCCACCATTTCTGGAAAGAGAGTCAGGGTGAAAGCCCAGCACAGGAACCGGCAGTGGGACACCCACCTCTTTTCGCCTACGTGATCCACATCACTTTATCCTCCCTGACCTGCACTGTCTGCCAGCGTCTGTATTTCGCAGGAACTTAGAAGAAGTCATAGCATCAAACAACTTCCCCAAACGCCCTGAGCTGGCACACCTCGTGGCTGGCATTAGGATGCCAGCTGGTCAAAATTATTCAGAGAAAAACTGAAGGACACCTACCTTAACCTTGTGCAGAGAATGCGGATAAGACAAGATGCTGAGGGTCCTGATGGGGTCTCTGGCTTGCTGCACGGGAGGAGACAGAGATGGTGACGTACCTGCTGGCTCCAGAGGGGCTTCAGGAGCAGCTGACTAAAGAGCTTCTCCAGCTCCACAAGAGCCCGGAGCAATACTTACAATGTTGGCTTTGATTGCGGTGAAACCAGACCTAATCTCAGTCACACTCATTGAAACTCTGCAGGGTCCAAAGTGGAAGATTTTGTTCCCAGCTGTCAGCATCAAATTCAACCAGCAGGACGTGGAGAAGAGGCAGAGGAGCAAGTGGGATCCCTTCATGCTGCTGTGGGATGCAAACACGGCCGGCTGCCTGGGAGACCTGTTCAAGGAAGACAATATTGCCTCACTTTATTTCCTAAATAATACAATTGTAATGCTTAAGAAAATATATAGACTTTATATAGTGCTTATACTTGTGCATGTGTATTAAAAAAAGCACACTCACTAGTTTCTCTTACCCGTTTCTTCTTGACTCCCCATGTACAAGAGGAAAAAATCAAATGAAAACAAATACTTAACAGAAGATCCCAAAAGAAGCAAAAAGGAAAAAAAAAAATCAGTAAAAGACTGCATGTAAATAGACAAAGTTCTTCTGAAAAATTTTCAGCAGAAAAATAAATACAGAAAAATTAAAATTTTAAAAGTCTACTGATTCAGAAGCAGCAGGAGGTAACTGTGACTGAAAGCAGCAGATCCCAAAGTCTGACCACAAAAGAAAATGCTTTCTTTCAGAAATAGCATACTTCAAATACAACTTTTGTTAGCACTGAAAATTAAGGTTATTAATGGAAAAAATCCTTTCAGAGATGCATTATAGGAATACAAGGAAATGTACACAAGCACATAGAGTGAAAGGATAAAATCAGTATTTTACCTTGTTCTTTGATGTGGGTTCACCTGTCTCACCGACATCTGACCTGAAGAGCTCTGAAGAACACGTTTTTATCCAGGTATCAGGAGGAAATAACTCTTGGATTAACTTTTGGGATTTTTCTTGCTTTTCCCGGCATGTATTTCCCTTTGTGATTTACCGAATTAATGAGCTAGTGAAAGGGACCAACTCTCTCACCCACAGGTGTTTCCCTCACCTACGGAGGCGGGAAATCTTGGCATCGCTGTATCATTTTGCGTTCGGGAAGAAGGACACGACCAAAAGGAGGGACCATCATGGGGGTTGCATCCCCGAAATGCCAAGCCCGGGGGCTGCCCCCGGCACGGAGCCACGCTGCCAAACCCCTCCTGGAGAAGGGCCGTTCCCAGCTCCCGCGGAGGCGTTGGGCTGCGGGAAGCCCAGCGGCATCACCATCCCCCGGGACGCCAGTGGTCCAAACCCCCCCAAGGTGGGAGGGTTGCTGGCAATAGGACATGGCGCGCTAGTAAAAGTAGCGTGACTCAGAGGGTTGGCAAAACCTTTCGCCATCACTGTCCTGGCACACGGGGCCTTCACCCGCCGCGTACGGGGGATCCTGCTCCCAGGCTTGCTCCTCCGGCGGGTGGACACTTATCCCCATCGGCACGTCCCTGGTATTTGGAGACCGGAGATGCCCAGGTACGAGAGAGCAGGGCTTTGGGATGACACAGCGCCCACCTCAGTGCCAGAAGTCACTTGGTTTTCAGGAGCACGAGTGACTTAGGCAAACACTATGCACAGTCCAAAGCTACCACTCTGCAGAAAGACAGAAATTTCACTCAAACCTTTAAAAGTCCACCATCCCAGTGGCAGCAGGGAACTTTTACCCACCAGCAAAGACTGTGACTGTAAAGTCTATGATGACCCTGCTGTGAGCATCAGCTGCTGAGCAAAACTGATGCAGCCAAGGTCCTTGAGCAGACCAGGCATGCTCTCACAGCAATGTTTCAGATCTAGACTGTCCCCAGGGAGCCAAGGTTTGCCAGCTGGGGCAGGCTGTCACATGGATGTGGCAGTAGAGGTACAAAACCCAGGCTGGTTCACCACGCTGTTGGCTCCGAGACTAGTTTGGTTGTTTCTGTAACCCCTCTGGAGACAGCTAAATCCAGTCTACAAACAAAAATGAGCAGTTGAAAAAACCTTCTTGGACTACCTGTACCCAGTAGGGAAGGTGAGATGGACTTAAGGGCACAGAGGTGGCAAAGATGCTCCTCTAATCCCACAGCCAACCTGAGGAGCAGCCATGGGTGAGAGCAGCAGCCTGAGCCTGTGCCTGTTGCAATGCGGTGTATCTTGTGTGCCGCTGCCTGTGGGCCAGGGCTGTTCTATAAAGTTTTGCTGGGTGAGTAATTTATTGATAACCAAGCTCAATCTTGAGCGTATATCCATCATCAGGGGAAGACTAGGCAAATAGATTTTACGCCCAGGCTAGTCAGAGTGTTGCATACAGCTGAAACTGCCCCAAATGCATCAAACGTGCCTCCCTCATCCCTGCGCCTTCGCGCTGTACAACAGCCAAAAGGCAGGTCCAAATCTGCAGCGGGCTGGATTTGCCCTCGCTGAGGTGTTGGAGGGATCCTCAGCAGCAGGAGGCTGTGAATCTCTGCCTTCCTCCCCCAGTTCCCAGCCGCTGCCTGCAATTGCAGCAAAAATTTCACGTGGAGCAGAGGAAGCGGCACCGGCAGCGTTCCCAGGCAGCCCGGTGCACACCCAGCCTCGGTGAGGAAACAAGGGAAGAGGCAATGAGTTCTTACTTAATTATGTAAATTGCAGATGAGAAGAAGGGATTTTCTTTTTTTTTTTTTTTTTTTCCTTTTGGTAACTGAACTGACGCTCGGGACGGGTCAGCCAAATGCCAGCAGGCAAGAAACAGTTGTGGGTTAAAAGCTGCCAGCCAGGCTGGGGGAGGAAAGATGCTGGGCTGAAAGAGGAACGGGAGGGAAATGTCGTATCATCATGGTCCAGGGTCTTGCTCCATTACAGACCTCTGCGCGGCCCTGGGTGGGCATCCTTTGGCCTCACTGTCCTGTCACCCACCATTTGCAAAGCAGAGACAATAGCGTGACTCCCACCGCAAGGGCAAGGAGGAGAAAAATCATGCCAAAGGATGGGGGGAGAGACAATCCAGATACTTAAAAATGAAAAATTTTGTGTGCAATGATGGCGATTGATTACCCCAAGTGCTGGACCTCGGCGAGATCTCAAACCCTCGTTTTTCGGAGCAGATGGGATGGCATCAGCAAGGACCACAGCGTGCGTTGGACCGAGTTCTGATGGAAGCGAATCACCCAGGCTTGGCTTTCCCCAGGCAGGCTGCCTAAGGGAGGCTCTCCTCGACCTGCCAGCTGCAGCAACATGAAAATATCCTCAATAAAACAGCACACTATTTCTCATGCGCTCTGGGAAGGAAGAGGAAAAGGAGAAATAGGGATTTCTGAGACACAGCAGCGTGACGATGCAGATGAGCTCAGACAGCAAAATGGGAACTGACTCCCCCAGGCGCTCTCAGAATAATTAAGCCTTTTGCATACGGCAGCGCTGGGGAGCGTGCTGGGAGTGCAGAAGTGGTCCTCTCCCCGGGAACGCTGCCAGGCAGCTGCCAGCTAACGGTGGAGGGCTCCTCCCTAGGGATTTTATGGTAGGCACGTTGTAACAGGGCACTACCCATACCTTTTTGGACAGTCCCAACCCATATCTTCCCTACTGTGGGTACTGTCTCTTCTGCAGGCTCTGTCATGAGGCACAAGGACCTCAGGGCAGATCACATCAGGAAAGCCTGAAGACTAGCAGTCAGTGAGTAGAAGTCAGCCTTTTCCAAGTCATTTGTCACTAAGGTCTCCTGCCTCATTCAGCAACGGACACTCATGCCCCTTAGCCTTCCTTTTCCTGCCCACCTACTTCTGGAAACCATTTTTGTTGCAACTGTTCCACTTCCAGCTTAGCTTTGGCTTTCCAAACGCCAGCTCCATTCGGGCAATGTCTCTCCATTCTTCCTGGGAAGCTCATCCCCTGCTTACATGCTCTGTATCCTTTTTTATCTCTATTTTGGTTTTTGTGTGTGCGATCGCTCTCAGGACACCCCTGCTCATCCACAGAGGCTTCCTGACACCTGTGCAGCTTCCCACACATCCGACTGTACCACTCATGCTCTCAGGAGGTCCTCATTTAAGTTTCACATCTGTTCTGAGTGCCTTTGCACTTCATGACAGTTTCCCATGGAGGAAGAGAGTCTCTTGGAATCACACATTCCACCCTGTATTCTTCCTTCGCCAGAGAGGGAGTGAATTGTTAGTGGTCTGCACAAATACGGACTTACGTGGAGAATAATCATCAAATCCTTCCCTAAACCAAGGTCTCAGCTTCCTCAGAGCTCGATTTCCCTCAAAATGTTGCACCAATCTATCATGTTTCTCACACAGATGTCATCATCATAGTTCAAAGCTCTGAACTGGTCACCAACTATTTTGCCTTCCCTTTATGCAGCTTCAGTGATAAGGTATCTGGAGTCACTTCTGCTGTCTTTCTTGCTTAACACTGTAGAGGGACTTCAGAGGAATTGTTCAAACCAGTGTCCATTGTGACAAATAGATCATGGTTTTGAGCATTTCGGTACGCTAACGCACGCAGCATAGGGCGTAAACTTGAGGAATGACACATATGTGTGCACTTCCACGGTTGTGACCTTGTTGGGATCACGGAGACACAGTGGGATTACTCACATGGTCCGAGTGTTGCCATGGAGGGATACAGGGTCTTTAGGCAGGACGGGATGGGAAGACAAGGACTCCCCAGTACATGAACTTCAACCTGGAGGCTCAGTTTATATTTGCGCGTGGGAGGAAGAGCCATTGAAAGAAAAGTGGAAGTGGCCCTACACCATTTTGTTTGGCCCATTACATGGTTATGAAAGGAAGTCTGCCACTGCCTGGAGCGGCCGGTTAAACTGGGGCTGGAGAAGGGTCTGTGCGGGGCAGAAGTTCACCCAGGAGGCCCCTGGGGCAAAGGGTGGGTTACTGCAGTCAGCAATCCCACACCACCAACATCCCCGAGGAGTTCTGCCCAGTCAAGTCTCCTGCCCCAAAGCGCAGGATCACCTTCGTCACACTGCCCATCTCCGCCCTCACTTGAGCCACCTCCTCCTGCATCTTTTGGGCTTGCTCCACCACGAAAACAGGACAGTTCCTGCAGGAACTGGGCAGCAATGGCCCCCAGCGGCGTCTCAGCACCCCCGTGTCCCGCCTCACCGGCCGGTGGGACCCCCACGCCAGTGCAGGGCCACGCTGTGCTGGGGCAATGTGGGATTCCAGCTACCCAGCCATGCCACCAGCCTTGGCAGGGGAGCACAAGGTGCCCCATGGGCAGCCCAGGC